GGACCACAGGCACCTGCCACAACGCCTGGCTATATTTTGGTCGCTGCTGTCATTGTTGTTTGGCGGGCCTGGGCTGGATTCGAACCCGCCACCTTAGGTGTATGTGGCTGGCGCCTTAGCCACTTGAGCCATAGGCGCCAAGCCAGCACTAGCTTTTTGATTAGGGATGTGAAGCTTTTTAATAGGAATGTGTAGCCCAAAGATAATTCAATTGAGTGAGTCACTTCACTTACTGAAGTCTCCATTTCTGCACCCAAGAACATCAGTAGCAACAAAAATATGGAGCGTTTCACGAATTTGCATGTCATCCTTGTGCGGGGGCTATGCCAATCTCTGTATTGTTCTAATTTTAGTATATGTGCTGCTACAGCAAGCATAGGAAACTAATTTTAAACGGAAAAAAAGATATCAAACATATGAGGTCAGACAAATAAGCTCACAAATTGTCTTGGAAAAAATGTTATGAAGGGTGGACTAGGCGCTGGCATTGGTGTATAGCTTCCCAAGAGGAGTACTTCAGAGGTGACACTATAGTGATACTCAGCAGTGAGGTATGTAGCACTTTCTTGAGGATGATTTCATGAACCTGATTGTCTGATCTCATATTTGATGATATATCATTTGCGCAAATAAAAAAACATTTTTATGTTTTATGTAAACATGGAAAGCTAAACACTAAAGGGTCATGGTGGTTATTTACGATTTGTAAGAGCATAGCTGCAGTTTATTCTTTGTGCATTTCTATTAAATTTTCTTCAGTTAACCTAGATTAATTTTTTTTTTTTTTTTGAGACAGTCTCAAGCTGTCACCCTGGGTAGAGTGCCGGGGCGTTACAGCTCATAGCAACCTCAAACTCCTGAGCTTAAGTGATTCTCTTGCCTCAGCCTCCCAAGTAGCTAGGGGACCACAGGTGCCCACCACAATGCCTGGCTATTTTTGGTTGTAGTTGTCATTGTTGTTTGGTGGGCCCAGGCTGGATTCAGACTCACCAGCTTCGGTTTATGTGACTCGTGCCCTGGCCACTTGAGCTACAGGCACCGAGCCTAATCTAGATTAGTTTTATAATTTGGAGGAAAAACAAATTTGTCTATTTTCTTTTTTTGAGACAAAGTCTTAAAATTCTGTTGCTGAGGGTAGAGCGCGATGGCAATCTGCCCAGTTCTGAGCATCCTCAATCTCCTGGGCTCAAGCAGTCCTCCTGCCTCAGTCTCTCGAGAAGCTGGGACTACAGGCACATGGCATCACTTCCAGCTAATTTTTCTAACTTTGGTAGAAACGGTGTGTCACTCTTGCACCGGCTTGTCTTGAATACCTGAGCTCAAAGGATACTCCTGCTTTGACCTCCCAGAGTGCTAGGATTACAGGTGTGAGCCACCATGTCCAGCCTATTAATATGCTTTATTACCATTTACTATATATGTTTATGACATTGGTTTCTTTTTTATATTTTACCATACCATTTATTACCATTATTTATTTTATTTTATTATTTATTTATTTTTTTGAGACAGAGTCTCAAGCTGTCCCCCTGGGTAGAGTGCCATGGTGTCACACAGCTCACAGCAACCTCCAACTCCTGGGCTTAGGCGTTTCTCTTGTCTCAGCCCCCCAAGTATCTGGGACTACAGGCACCCGCCACAACGCCCAGCTATTTTTTTGTTGCAGTTCAGCTGGGGCCAGGTTTGAACCTGCCACCCTTGGTATATGGGGCCAGTGCCCTATCCACCGAGCCACAGGCGCAGCTCTTTATTTTTTTTTAAGAAACAGAGTCTCACTTTGTTGCCATCAGTAGAGTGCTGTGGTGTCACAGCTCACAGCAACCTCCAGCTCTTGGGCTTAGGCGATTCTCTTTTCCTTAGCCTCCCAAGTAGCTGGGACTACTGACGCCTGCCACAATGCCCAGCTATTTTTTTGTTGTGGAGCCAGGTTGAACGTGCTACCCTTGTTATATGGGGCCAGTGCCCTGCTCACTGAGCTACATACAGGTGCCGCCCCTATTTATTACCATTCTTCATTTAATTGTTCCTTATTAAGCATTTAGGCTGGTTCAATTTTGAGTAATATAAATAATGTTACAGCGAATATTTTTGTCTATGACTTTTTTTTTTTTTTTTTTTT